TAAAATTTAGCTTTCCCACGTCTCTATTAACAGGGATAGTATTCTTTAAGTTGTTCTGTAGTGGTGTTGGTGATGAGTCACATTTGCATAGGCTTTTCTATGTGCAAAGCAGTTTTAACTCATGATTTCATTTGGTCCTTTCAGTAATAGGAGTTTTTATTCTACAAATATATATGTGTGTGTGTATGTGGGTGTGTGTAAAATTGAAGTTCAAGGATGCCCTCTCGGTCTCAGAGCTAAATAGTAGCCTCAACCTCACCTTCCTTATATAATCTTTCTTTCTTTGAATGGGCTTGGCTGTATGCCAATAAATCCTTATTTACAAAAGCAGGTATATTTGGTCTGTGGGTTACAGTTTGTTAACATCTGCCATTTACTTGTTTAATAATGTTTTCTGTGGCAACACTGGCTTATAAGATGTTATGTTTCAGATTTACAGCATTATTACTTGACATTTGTATACTCTACATCATGATCACTATCAAAAAATCTAGTTTTCAACTTTCATCTTTTAATAAGATGGTGAACCCTCATCTGCACAAGATAAAATTCAGTTTTACAGCAACATACTATCAATAATTACCCAAATAGGCCAGCGAAGTTATATGAGAGTATCAGTAGCTGGAAGCTGTATGAAACTGAGGTCATGGCTGAACTGGTGTTCAGATTGGGGCAGACACCCACAAACTCTCCTGCAGTCAGTATCATCATCATGGTGTATAGATGATTTTTATATCCCAAAAAACATAAAACTGGGAAAAATCAAAAGGAGTTCTGTTGATGTTCTTATTATTTACTATAGCTTTAATCCAGGTTGGCTAGTAGTCAAAGGTAAGTATTTCAAGCATTGATTGATTGGGGGCTATGAAATCTTCCCTGACCTCTAGTAGGGGAAGAAATGATGCCTCCCGAATTAGGAGTCAAACCACAACTCACTCATTTCTGATAAGCAGAAAAGAGGTCACACTGGAATTGTCCAGCTTCCCTCTGGAATGCCCCTCTGAAGCTTTGGCTGAGAGTGGGGAAATCCATGTCATCACCTTTCCACCACGCAATAGTCACAGTTATTAGAGACTTCCAAGGCACTCAGATCCAGGTTTAGGTCACATGGGGGCCTAAACAATGGGATTCCTGCTCCCAAGGACAGAGGAAACTCTAATTGCATTTCTCAGTCAACACACACGCTACACTTCCACCTGAGACATTTGTTGTCTAAGCACTGACCAGACTGAAGTGGCATGGTATGAAATAGTGATCTCTGATCTTCTATGGTCTCAGAAGGAACTGGGATCACTGCTTTTCTGCTCAACAAACAGGACTTTCAGCCCCAAAATCACTGGTTTCCAGCCTGAGGGCAAACCTCTCTAGAAAGACCTTGGCTCCTTCATGCTGTGATGGCATAAAACAAGAGCTTTGTTGGAGTTAAAACATGGAACTCTGAGTACTTCGCAGCGGAAACCTGTAGCTTCTTTAGGTGAGGAGCAACCAGGGAGAGATATGGAAGTGGAAGAGACAAATGCAGTGACAGGAACAACTGGCATGGTCTCAATTAGGGGTTAAAAAAAAAAAAACCTTGAAAGAAAAGCACAAGAGACAAAGAGCATCATCCCACTGCAGCAAGGAAACCTTCCCTGACTGCATGTGATATAACAATACCCTCCTTCCCCAAGATTCTCTGCCTGTCCCCTCTGGATACCACGATATATGGATGATGGGAACTCTGGTAATATACAACTCCATTGCCAGAGCAAATCATTCCCATATAAATTGCTGTCACTTATGTAGTTGACACTCAGAACCCTGCTATCTCAGAGTGACACTGCTCTATGAGTCTTCTATTATTTACATATCCATATTGTCCAGATGATTCCCATTTAGTTTGCCCAGTACATCATCTCACACAGATATTCCCACCCTACGTTGCAACCTAGGTCCCCTTTATTAAGTGTTTTCTCATGTGAGCCCAAGTTAGAAATTACTAGAAGCTGCTATGTACTTATTCAGTCTCACCAAGCTATCACTGACACAAAAGAGAAATAAGCTCCTTCAGCTGCTAATGAAAAGCACTTAAGGCAAACCCTTTCTCCATAATTGGCTCACAGGGCTTCCAACCTTTTGCAACAGTAATGAATTAGGCCATTTCAAATATGGAGAATGTAAGACAGACCTTGGAAAATGAGGGTGGAGAACATAATTGATAGTGGAGACATACACTGCTACATACTACAAAGTTCATCCTGTCATTTTTTCATCTGCTGACAATAGTAAAGAACCAAGAAACATCTGGCCTGAAATGCAGCCATATCTTTTTAAAACCCAGTCTAAGAGATCTACTGCCTCATAATAAAGAATCCTGTTCTCCCACCAGCATAATCAGAACTGTTCTTAACACACCACAAACAAAAGTCCTTTGACTTCAACAACGTATGCCATAGAGTCCCTCTCTTCTCTCTTTAGGATACTATGCTTGGCTATTAGGCCATGTAGCAGAGCTCCAGCAATCCCCTGATGCTGCATCCAGCCTCTTCAACTTGGAGAGCTTCAGACCACCCAGTTCACTGAGTTTGTCAAGTCCTGCCAGGAAGCAACAAGTGTAACTAGGGAGGGACCTGGGAGAGAAGGGAATTAACCTGTGACACAGGTGGTGTCCCAATGACTTTATCACCTGAGATAGCACTTTCTCCATTTGGTATGTGATGAAACTAATGATGAAAAAGGTTAACAAACTGGCCAACATCACATGATTCAAACCCAGGCCTTGAGTCAAATGCCATGCTTTTCCTGCTGTACTGCCCCAATTCTGGAGCCATGCACAGGGCGTGAAAAATGAGAAATGCTTAGGCATTGATACTTTATCTTAAAAGCAAGAAAAACTCAGCATAAACTTTTTTATCTTACATATTACACTCTGGAAGGAATGTACAGATCTTATTGAAGGAGGATAAAATTGGAGGTAAGGAGTCCAGTAAGGTTAGTGCAATATTCCAAATGAGTGTTGATAAGTGCTAGATATAAGGTGTGTGTCGGTTAAGATCCCATGGTTTCAAACAACATAAATAAATCCAGACATTCCTATCTGTTGGTTACTTTGGAAGAACCTTCACTTGAAGGATTTGGTGGGCTCACATGTCTCTCAGGAGGCTGACAGGTAAGATTTGATAATGTAACATAACCAAAAGCTCCAAAAGTCTGGCACACTGGTAGAAGAGGGACTCTTGGGTGGTCAAGCAATATGGTTGGGATGCTTCTGCCACTACCTTGCAACTAGTGGTCCCTAGTCATTCCTCTGCCCTCTAGCCAATCACTCAAGTTCAGAGACCTAGGACAGAGCAGCTGCCTGGCCAAATTTAGGTCACACATCAGGATCTAGTTTGGATTATAGGACATGAGAGGGTGAATCTTTCACTCTTGGATTCCGTGATGGAACACACAAGTTAGGAATTACTTCCAAGAGGATGTACAATGTACAATGAATGGTGGTAATTTGCCTCACTGGAAATCAGGATTCTACTTGGAAGGTGGAATGGATATTGGGCAGTACAAATATGATCAATGTCCTCAAGAAGCAGTAGTAGTGGATTTGGGGAGGAGACAATGGCATTTGAAGTGCTGTAAGCTTTTGATTACTAGTTGAGAGTCCATGGTGTGCAGGACAGTGGCCCAGAGTTGTTATTAGAGTTCTAAGAAACATAAAACTCACATGGAAAGTGAGACCCAAACACAAAGATAAGTGACAATACTAAATCACATATATCATGTGTAGATGCAGATAATAAGGCATATGAGATTCAGAGAATGGAGATAATATCAAATCTAAAACTTAAGAAAGTCATCCCTGCAGACTTTGAGGTGTATGTAGAATTTGGGTCAGCAGATGGGGAAAGAGAAAGCATTCTAGGCAGGAAGGATGATCTGAACAGAAACATAGAAGTATAATATAAAAGGTGCTTTTGGGAATCAATATCCACAGTGATGTAGGGGAAAGAGTTCTTATAAGAAGCCTCTCCTAACTAGGGAGAGGTCCACAAAAAGGTCCACAAAAAGGGACAATTTCCCCCTTCTCTTCTTGTTTAGTTGACCTTGGTCAATTACTAAGGGTTGCATTTCCAGGCTTTAGGGAGAAAATTAAGGAAGGTGTTGTACTTGTAGGACTGAAGGGTTGGGCTTAAATGTGTCAGTGGTAATGAGAGGAGAAAGAAAACAGATCAGAGAGACTTGGCATCAAGCTTCAAGTTCCTAACTCCCCTTCCTGGACCAGAGCCACCTGGGATGGTCCTAATTCATACAGTTCGTTGTCAGGCTGCCAATGCCCTGCACTACCCCAGCTGCCCCATTATCCTCTCTAACGCTCCTTCCCACCTTTCAGCAACATATCTCTCATCGAGCCCCAGGACGAGGTCAATGGCAGGCAGTGGAAGTGGACCATGACTTCCCAGTGGCAGGGGTATTTTGCCCTGGCAGATATTTAATGGGATCAGACCTTAGGGGACCAGCGCTCCCTCCAGGCTTGTGCCTCTTTAGCATTCCCACTTCCTTATGTGGTACTTCAGGTGGGGTCAAGGGGCAGTGTGCTGATCATACCACCAGCTGATAGTTTCAGGAATACGTCAGGCTTCCAGGACCCTGCCAGCAGTTGGAGATGCTTCCATTTCTATTTCATTTCACTTTCATCCATTTCATTTCCTGCAGGCTCCAGATTCTTCTTCTCTCTTCCAGTTCTCAAGCATGATGCACCAAGCTCACTATGTTGGGTCATTAAAGTGGGATTGCAGAGGACCAAGATAGGCCACAACCACAGTACATAGGTAGCAGGCTTTTCCTTTAAAGAGACCCAGAGGCATGGCAGGATGTGTTTTCCCATCATGAAGGGATGTCCTTGGCAGCTTATTTCCTTCCCGTTGTGCTATTTTTCCCTGTGATGACATTAGTTGCATTTAAAACCTAAACTTGAATTTGTAGCCAGTGGAACAGTAGAGTAAAAATGTTTTCCATTTCTCTAGTTCTTTACAACATTCCATGGACTAATCAAGAGCAGCCAGATATGTGGTCCAGGCCCTACAAGCAGCCTTTAGAAGCCGGAAAAGGTAAGGAAACACAGTCTCCTCTAAAAACTTCAGAAAGATGCTGAATTTTAGCCCAGTGAGATCTTCTTAAAATTTCTGATGTCCAGAACTGTAAGATAGCAAATGTGTGTTGTTTTGAACCAGCAAGTTTGGAATAATCTGTTGCAGCAACAACAGGAAACTAATAAAGCTTCCCCTAGAAACAGTTAGGGCCAGCTCAAGGTCCAGTAGCTTCTATAGACTTCTAGCATCTCTGAGGCCACAGTCTGCATAACTACAAGGAATTGTTTAAGCCCTGTTATGAGGGCTTATGGGAGGGTTTGTTCCCACAAACTAGGGAGAGTCTTTGAAGAATCTCTCCAAGTTATTAAAGAAGGAAGGAAGAGAGCTGACTTCTCACCTCTCCTGGACTCATACACCCCGGAGGACCATGTTCCACTGAGATTTTTGTTCACTGAGATTTCCTGTGGCACGTTTGTGTCTTGCTACTTTCCAAAGATGTCTCTTTCTTCCCAGTAAAATCGAGAAGAGCCAATAAGGTGCAGGCCAGCTGCTGGGTCTCCTTTCCCTCACACATACCACATATAAAATAGGAAGATGGTCTCCAAAGCTGTAATTTCTTCCTAGCAAGTGTCTTGGGTTTCACTTGAGTGGTTAATGATGATGTCACCCGAGCGCCTTAGGATGAGGCATTTCCAACCTTCAATTAAAGGACTGTGATTTACTCTATATATTAACATCCAGAACAATAAACACAGTGGAACACAGTCATTAGAGGCAGCCATAATCCATGGCCTGCTGTGTATTGATGTCAACCCTGCTGCATTTGACATCTGAAATAAATCCAAAGAAAGCACTGCAGTTTCAAAGCTGGGACTGCACTGAGGATATCCACCCTGATTGCATTCCATCTGCCCACCTCCATCTTCTAACTTATTGACATCTTGGGTTCAACCCCATAGTTAAAAGCCACTTGTCTTTTGCAGAAGGACATCTAGGCCAACCCTCTTCCTGGCTTGGAATAATTGATTGAACCCAATGATCCTTCTCCATAGGGTAAGGAACCAATTCAGGCTGTTTTGATTCCTAATCTAAAGGATGTCAGAAAGGAATAGGGCCAAAGACATTAAAAACAAAAATAAGGGCCTCCCCTGGTGGCGCAGTGGTTGAGCTCTGGGCTGTGAAGCTGCCCACAGCCTCTGCAGCGCCGGTTCGATCCCCAGCCACCAGCGAGGGTCCCACATGGAGCGCCGACCTCTCCTGCCGCACCCGCTGCTCCCCTCAGCAGTGTATTTCGTCAGTCTGCCTATTCTGTTCCCCGCTCTGGTGAATTCTCTCACCCTCCCACACTTCTAACTGTACCCAGGCTTGTATAAATAAATATTTAAAAAATAAAAAACAACTGACCTTCCAATACGCAAGGCAAACAGGGAGTAGAGTAGATAAAATGGAAAACAAGAAAAGCAAGAGGAAATTTTTTCCTGAAATTTTTTAGCTGAAAAACACCTTATCTGAGTTTTCTCTTCAGATATTTCCCATATTCGTTTGGTGCAGACATTCACCCAGTGTCACTTAGGGGTTTGGAATAAGTGCTTGGGAATAATGTGTTTCACTCCAGAAAGCAGAGACCTAAGTATTAATTGGATCACTTAGTCTAAATGGAGGAGAAAAAGAATACTTCAAATATCAGTACCCATCATTTACAGAGCACTTACTGTGCCAGGCATGTGCTCTTCAGGTGTTCTATGCACCTGATCTCATTTCATTCTTACTACAACCTCCTAAGCTAGGTACCAAGAACTCTGTTTTGCAAATGAGGAAAGGGAGCCCTAGAGCTCTTCGGTCCCTTTCACAATGCCTGGAGTAGAATTCAAGCTCAGCCCAGCACCAAAGCTCATAGGAACCACATGAAAAGCGCAGTACTTCTTCCTGCAGCCCTGGGTCATATTGTCTCATCTTGTCAAACAGCACAGTTGCAATTTCTGGGTGTCCAGCCACCTAGATGTCTAAGCTGAACTCTTCAGGGGATACAAAAATAAAACAGGATTCAAAAGACTCCCCTGTCAGGTTGTGGGGTGGCAGGGCAGGGAAGTCTCAAGGTTCATATTATGCACTTTGTGTTATATGAAGAGATGTGCTTGGGTCAGTGAAGCGATGGAAAGATGCTGTAGAGTGAGATGGGGAAGTAAGAACACAAAGCAAGCCTCAGCAGTCTAGGCGTGCTGGACCGACAACACCATGACTGGGATAAAAACACAGGCTGTATTCAGCGGGCTAGCAGCAACTCCCTAATGGCTGATGGGGTGAATCTTGCACATAATTCCCTAGGGGAGGATCTGATATGGTTGCTTGTCACATTTACCCTGGAGCGCCCCTAAGGAAGGCACTTTTAGACCTGGTCAGTTCTGAGATAGAGACTGTCTGCAGCCAAACCATAGTGCTGCCTGAGTTCTCAGCTCCCTGCTTGTCAGGGGGTTAGCAGAGCCAGTGCGTTCCTACAACACAGCACAAGCAAACTTGATGGACCTCGGACCACAGTCATCAGACTTGCCAACCCAGCAGAGATATAGATGCTCCATGTGTGTGGATCTTGAGAAGCAAATATAAGTGACTTGCAGCTTTTCCGTATTATCTGCACTATTGATACTCTCTAATAAGTGTTTTTCATTTTGTTTTATGTCATTTTACTTTGTTTTTGATAATGTTTTGGTTTATAAAAGGAGATCAGAGAGTCTCAGCACACCACTCTGGTTCTCTAAGCACAGGGCCTTGGGACTTGCTGGATATGCCTGTGCCAAATGGTGTTTGGGGAGGGTTTTTCCTAGTACACCTTTCTTGCCTAGTACACCTTTCTTGCCTAGTACACCTTTCCTAACACCCAGGACTGTTCGTGAGTTGGGAGCATAAAAGTGAGAGCCTCTCTGGTGGAGGCTTCCAGACCTCTCCTGTGGAGCACACTTACTAGACTTGCAAACCTTATGGGTCCTGCGAACTCTCACACCATTCACCATGCTGGTTGGCTACACCCATGGGCTTTCCCTGAACACGGCTGCCACCTGCTGGACCAACCTAGAACTGGCTGCTGGTCCACATAAGGCGGATACCTGGCCAGCACAGGAAGTGTTGGAGAACAGATTGTCAAGTTCATTCCATGGTTTTCATTCCAGAGTGAGCTTCTAACCTGGCCTTAGCACACACGAATCTGTTTTCTTAATAGCATTTGGAGACCTAAAGTCTACAAAATTCCTCTGATAACTCATCTGAGAGTTTAATCACCCTCACAAATATTTTCCCTATTTGTGATCTCAATGATGCTTCTGTTTAGGTTAATTTCCTACTGGTCTTTCTTGATCAGAGATGAAAAGCAGTTGTGTCAATTTGCTGGGTAAGAGCTCTTTATGAGCGTGGAGAAAGAGCGATGCTTATGCCTCCCTTCTCTGGAAAGATCCCAAGTATTATTTTTCTTTAAATTGACTTCCTTTAGCCTATTTTAAAACTTATTTATCAACTCTGTGACTCTCCTCTGAATGCTCTCAATTTCTTGACATTTTTCCTTACTTGGAGATAGGAAACTTTTAGTGAGGATTTGGCTAAAATCAAGTATAGTACTTAACAGTATTTTGTCTACTCTCCAAATGCCCACTCCTTTGTTAAATATTTTCTGAGAACCTACTGTGTGTGAGACATAAAGGTAAGGCCTGTGTGAGCTATAAGATTAATGACTCATGAACTTTCCAGAAAGAGGGAGGAGCTGTACAATGCCTGCACACACATCAGCCTAACAGTGTATGAGACAGGTATAGGCATCCAGGCAACAAGAAGTCAGCATGAGGAGAGAATGCTTTGACTTCATGTAAGCAGTCAGGCCGAACTGGTTTTTGAAGGTGTGATATTGTGAGTCATAATAAGAAATATGTATTTAGTCTTAGACCCCATTTCTGGTGCAGAGCTCCTAAAACCTTTAGAATTTCCAGTGAGGTGAGCAGCAAAGGAGTCTCTTGTTATGTAAATGAGGTGACTTTTACTATCCCTTCCCCCAAGGATAGGGGCTGGTTTCCAAGAGAAGCAGCCATGTGATGATTGGAGGGTTGAAGCTTTCAGTCCCACCCCTCGACCTAGAGATTGAGTTTAATCACCAAGGGCCAATTATTTCATCAATTATACATATATAAGGAAGCCTCTATAAAGACCCAGATTGGAGTTTGGAAAACTTCCAGAGTTGTCGAACACACACAGATTTGGGGAAGAATGGAGAGAGCAGGGAAACCATGAGCCTTTGCCTCCAACCTTGCCCTGTGTATCTCTGCCATCTGGCTGTTCCTGACTTACGTTTTTTTTTATAATAAACCAGTAATAGGGTAAATAAAATATTTCTATGAACTCTGTGAGCCACTCTAGCAAACTAACCAAACCTAAGGAGGGATCGTTAGAACCTACAATCCACTCAGTAGGTCAGAAGCATAGGTGACAACTTGGACTTGTGATTGGCATCTAAATTGAGTGGGTCTGTCTGGAGGAGGGAGCGCTTGGGCTGTGGGCTGTGGTGTTCTCTTAAAGTCAGTAGGGTCAGAATTGAGTGGAATTTAGGGCAGCGCCTCGCTGGTGTCCAAGAACTGCTTGGTGATGTGGGAAAGTCCTGCCCATTGGGACTGGTGACCAAGTTGCTAGAAGGATACATAGAATATGGTTGGAGCAGAGAAGAAAGGGTATAAGGAGAGGAAACAGGCAGAGAGCACAGCCTGACGAAAGTCCTGGGGACAGTGAATACCAGGTGTGGATTTGAGCTCTTGGTTGCCTCTGAGCTTGTCAAGGGAGACTAAGAGAAAAACAGATTAGGTCAGATTGTGAGGCCTCCCCAACAATGGAGAGCCATTAATGAATAGCGGTATTGTGTTTACTTTATGTAGCTCCTGTTGGATTTTAACTTGAAGACGACTTGTTTTTCACCATGCTGACCCAAAATCATTCTCAGCTATTCTTAGAGTCGCTTTGCCCCCCGTCTACTCTTGGCTGTTGGTTTTGACTTGTTTATTCCAAGCCCCTGTTTGGTTGTCACTCTTTGTTCCTCAGTTTCTGAGAAGTCTGTCTTAAACTCTCACACTGTTCGCTCATGCTCCCCTAGTCTAATCTCTGACAAGATGAACTCCAGCTGCAAATTCTGCTGTTGTCACGCCTCAGTGCCTTCCTTGACACAGGTCTTTATACTTCTCTATCCCACCGGGAGACTTAGCAAGTTAGATGACAATAACCTCAGCTGTCTCTGTCCACAAGCCATACCCCAACCATTTCCACAGAATAATTTTAGCTTTCCTGGAAGAATTTGCCTATGAAATTGACTGAAAGTAGAATTTGAAACAAATTGGATCTGCTAGGAAGTCAACCCGCTTTGAACTTTTGTTTCCAACTGGGATGAGGATAGAGGAAGACATGAGAGACACGCCCTGCATCCCTCTTGCCAAAGGGCTTCTTCCCAGGAGAAAGTTTCAAAGACAAAAGTTGACATATTATAAAACACAAAAAAATGAGCCGCAGGTGGCACCCAGAACTCTGTTCCCTCTTCGAATCAGTCAACCTCTCTCCTTCCCCTCCTCCTTTATCATCAGACTGGCTCTGTTTGATTCATCTGTTGACAAAGACAAGACCTTCTCTCTGGAGTGTTTTCTGCTGCAATCGGTTGCCTTGCTGCTCCAGGCTCACCCATCTCCGCGGGCAATAAGTTGCATGCACATTTTCTTTGAGCCACTTTCTAGCCCGATTCTTATTCTTCTTTTTACTATTACTCGCCTTCAGCATCTCTCTGTCAGGAGTATGAGATGAAAAAATGCTAACAACCTGAAAATTAGTGAACTCCCAACTCCAGTTCTGTCAGGTACTAGAATTAACATGAGTCTTTATATTGGGAAAAACCTAGAGGGTCACGAGGATCACAGAGTAAGGACAGAGCAAGGGATTAGGCAGGGAATCTGAAGTCACAAATAAGAATTATATCTTGTCTTACTATATCTTTATTGATTTTGTTAGGTACTTTCTAAGATAATTTCACATCGATTATTTAATTCTTAGGATGGCCTTCTAAATTAGATGTTAGAGCTCCTGTTTTGTAGATGGGGGAAACTAAGGCTGATTTTTTTTATGCCTTCGAGTGAATTGACAGCAATTTTAATATGCCATTTCTTGAATTAAAGGCAGAAAGCAAAGCATTGTGCTTGAGATGCCAGAGTCTAATGATAAATTAATTCTGACAAATGTCTAAGCATGGCACTGTAAGAAATGATGGGAAAAGCATGCATACTTGTAGTCCTGAGCCTAGAAACCTCACTTGGAAATCTGCCATTCCTTACCCATAGCAGCATCAAGCTTCTTGTGAAGAATCATTTCCATTTCTGGCCCTGAGCTTAGCCACAAATATGGCTTAAAAACAAGATGAAGCTGGGACAGGACAGTAACCACAGGGTGGTAAAAAGTGATCACAGCTGGATGTCAAGAAGGGAATAGGGAGGGAGCTGGGCGGGTGAAGATAATATTCCTCTGAACTGGCCATTTCTGCTCACTCCCAAGGAGGGAATAAAAAAACATAGATAAAGTCTTTAGGTGATAGATGATGCTGACCTGACTCAAACCCCCAGGAAGTCTTAAAAATGCTCATCGGAAAGAGTAGCCTTGGATTACAACACAGGCCCTTCAGGAATGTGCAATGTGCTCCTTTGTTTGTTTAAGTATCTGGTGATTTTAGAGGCTTTTACAAGTAGCCAGAGTAGATCCCAAGATTCTCCAAGCCTTGACTTCCTCTATGCATGACCCATAATAGGCCGAGTATTTGTTCACTGGGTGTCCCACACCTGTGCATTGCCCAAAGCTTCCACAGCACCTCACGCCTAGAAAGCCGTTCCCTTACTTAGAGGAGCCGGTGTTTGTGTTTCAGGCATGCCTTGAGTCCTGCTTCTTCCTGGCGCTTTCCCTGGTCACCCAAATTCACAGCATTCTCTTGACACGAAATTCAATTACTTAGATTTTTGCAACCAGTGCTATCGTTCCTCAATACCACTGGCAGGACACAATACCTGTTTTCTCTCTGAAGAGAAGAAACTATATTTCGCGATTTGTTTTAATACTGCTAGTATTTGTTGTACTTTCACATTTTCAAAGAACTCTGGGTACATCGTCTTATCTGATCCATACAAGAATGCTGTGAGGTAGATGGCTATTAGGACCCCTTTGGTTGCAAGTAACAAAAGTCCAGCTTGCTGGAACTTAAGTAGAAACGGGAATTTAGGGCCTCCCCGGTGGCGCAGCGGTTGCGCGCTGGATTGCGAAGCTGCCCGCGGCCTCTGCGGCGCCAGTTCGATCCTCTGCGGCGCCGGTTCGATCCCCGGCTGCTCCCCGGCCACCAGAGGAGGGTCCCACATGGCGCGCAGACCTCTCCTGCCGCCCGCTGCTCCCCTCAGCAGTGTACCTCGGTCCTTCTGCCTGCTCTGCTCCCCGCTCTGGCTCTGGTGAATTCTCTCACCCTCCCGCGCTTCTGACTGTACCCAGTGCTTGCATAAACAAACAAACAAATAAATAAACAAATAAATAAATAAAACATGCCTCTATTAAAAAAAAAAAAAAGAAATGGAAATTTAGTTCTCATAGAACCCAAGGAAGATTCCAGGATAGATTTGGTGAGTTCAGGACTCGAGTAAGGGATTTGGTGCCTCTAAGAAAAACTTTCTCCTTCCCTGCCTCCCACACTCTCCTCCCCTTCCCCACCCCCCAACATTTATATTACTGACATTCTCTTCTGACCCTTTGGGTTAGTCCTTTGGGGTGCAGATATTCTCTTCCCATGTCAATATGTATAAAACATAAGTCCTCAACAGAATCGCAATATTGGAGGGAGAAATAAATCTCCAAAGAAAGGCAAGGTCTACACTAGAGAAAAATGGGAGGACATGACACATACTGAAAACAGATCCCCACCACTGAAGATTATCCTTATTACCCTCTGCTGTCCAAAGGATAGTCAATCCCACTCCTAGCTACAGTACTGTCTCTCAGATTGTGACCCTCTGGCTTGCCGCTCTAAGAGTCACAGCCCTCTTGTTGGCCCCCACGGCTCACAGCTTGGCTCTTGCAGCCCATAGCCAGAAGCCAGACTCCTGTGGCTCGTGGCTGGAAGCCAGGAGCAGACAGGCTTTCGAGGCTGGAGGCTGATCTCCTGTGATGGGATGTTGGTGACTAGGAGCGGCCAGCTTCATGTCCTGGCTCCTGCCATGGCACCTGGCAGCCTGATCGGGCTCCTGCCCTATGGATGCTGCTCCCAGTGCATGCTGCAGTCCTGTCTCCCCCTCAGGGGAGTCCTTTCTCACCTTTGTTCTGTTGCAATCCAGCTGAGAGGAGAGGAGTCAGTCTTCACTCTGCAGGCACCTTGCCGCCCATCTCCATAACAAATACTCTTAAGATCCAGGTCATCTTTAGATGTGGAGGAAGTTGAAAAAGAAATCTTCAGGAATGATAAGTAACAAATACATCAGAGATATTAAGCAATTAATGTTCCCAAAACAGTTATGTCTACTTGTATTCTTTTGCCCAAACTATGCCTTTTACCTCCATCTTAACCCCCTTCTTTAATCTCTGGCTGGAAAAAGCCCATTCACTTTCAGATCCCACTCAAACATCTTTTCTCTGTAGCTTTAACTCACTCAAGAAATAAGTCACTGATTCCTAGACACTGTAGCATTGGCCTTGCACATTTGATACGATCTTGTCCTCTTCCTACATATCCTGACAAGACTGTGAGGGCCTCTAGGACAGATTTATTCTCCTGTAGCTTATTGGCGTTTGGGTCTCCAGTGCTTAGCACAGAGCCTTGTGCATAGGAAGTACTTATGTATGCTTATGGCATGAATGGACAAGTGAATGAAAGATGGGAAGTAGACTGAATTTACTCGTTGGATTAGAAGTTGCACAAATGGATTCCAAAGTGATTTACAATTCAGTCTCTTGTTACTTAGAGGTGTACCAAGACTGAAGTCCTAGAAAGGAAATCAGTTGGTCTTGGAGGGGGATCAAAAGAAACAACTCAGTCCCTAGCATTGTTATGTCTGGAATGCCGAAGGAAAAAGAAAGAATAAATATAAGCTTGCAAGTAGAAAGATATAACCAGATTATTTTGGTCACTGCCTCTCAGTTCTAACCATAGGAGTCTACAAAAAAAAAAAAAAAAAAACCATAATCTGACCTGTGTCAAACAGTGAAAAATTATAGTGGATGTTCTTCTCCTTAACAGTGTGCACAATTAATTCACCTAATCTCTTGTGGTTGTGAACCATTTAACTGCTTTTACATCCCCAGACCTTTTCACTTAAGGATCTGGAAGCAGATGCTTCCCATATCTGCATGAAGCAATTGCACATGATCTCAAAAATGAACTAAAACTTTGAACATACTCAAAAATGAACTAAAACTTGACCGCCCAGGATTAGAAAAACTGTCACTATCTCCAACACATGATTGAGACTAGTGCACTTTCTGGGAGGTTATGAGCAGAAAAAATAGAATAAAAATTTGTAGACCCAGAAGGCTCTTGGGAGTATAGTGTTACCCCTTATCCTGCTCATGGAAAAGCATTACCCAAGAGGTCAGGTGTCCATACAGGTCACACAGCTAGTCAGGAATGTTGATGCCCTACTCCTTGGAGAAGTTTATTTTTGCATTTGCAGCAGGAAAACCTTCTTTGTGAAGAGTGATCCAGACTGTTGCAGCCATTCAAAATGAAATCTGTAAAATAGACTCTAAATTTATCAGGCTTTCTAATATGGGCCAAATTGGGAAGAGTTTCAAGGGATAGGATAAATTTTCATTTAGGGTACTCTCTAAGATGCCACATTTCTGGCCTTTCAGAGAATCTGAACAACCAAAATGTTGGAAGAACAACTTGGAAGGTTAAAGGCATTGCTGGACAGAGAGAAGGGTTGGGAGGAGACATGAGAGAGATGATTCCACCAGAGAGAGAGACTGATAAAGAGCTATTATTAACCAGTATCCACTAGCCAACCCTGGAGGAAGAAAACATTTCTTTTTAACATTAGTCTTGGCCATATGACATACTTCAGCCAAAAATACATGAATGGAAATGACATCTTATCTCCAGGCAGCAGATTTTAAGAGTGAGTGTGTATTTGCCTGATGTGGAATCATGAAGTCAGGCTTTGTTTTAGCTTCCATGCACTAGATCCCAGGTGACTACTGGTTTCTAGAATCAAACAGGTGAGGTTGGATTCCAGCTCAGCTGTGTACCTGTAAGTTGCCTACATATAAACCACTTGTATCCAGAAATTGACTGGCATAGTAAAAGATTCTGCAAAGTCACGGGAATGTCTCAAGCTGAATGAGGAGTCGCAACATAGAAGAAGAACCAGCAGTGACAAAGCTGAGGCCCCTACCTGCTCAAGCAAAGTCTTGGACTCCAAAAGCAGAGACCAGTGTCAGTGCAGGAGGCCATCTATCCCCCATCATATTTCCCCCTCAGCCTTCCCATATCAGTTTCACTCCAATTTCTTATCCCAATGCTTTGCCTAGCTGATTTCCAGTGGGATCCGCTGGGCCTGAGCAGACAAGCCTTCTCATGTGAGTGTATATGTGTATGTGTGCACACATGTGTATACTCAAATTTTCAGAAATCTACTTTGTATACAGAGGATAATAGCATGTACTCTTCTTTATATAGATGTTCTCTAAACTAGTTACCTTCTTCCTAGGAAGAGTAACTTAGATCTAACACTCAATGAGGGTTTCCCATTATACTTTGGAGCCATGCTTACAGCTGCTACCAGTGTCCCAAACCAGGGTTTTATCTCACAGGAGGTGCCAGTGTCATTCAGGAAGGAGGGAAAAACCTTTACTCATATAATACTTCAGTCTAGACCCTCCTCCAAAGAGAAAATGCAATTTAAGGCAAGTTAAGAAGCAGCACTGGAAATATATAAATATTATGTTTTAAATATGAGTTAAAAAGCTAGCTGATCAATAGAACTCAGAAGCTAAAGCTGAAATTCACCTCCTAATGGAGTCATATTACATATGTTTATTCTGACCTTCACTTTTATGTAGCATCTACCTCTACATGAGAATTCCAGAGAGTTAAGAAATGCACTGGTGCAGTCTCCTCTTTTTATTGAAGAAGTTGACCCAGAGAGGTTAAGAGGCATGCCAGCTCCAGCAGGCTGCTACATCACAGGGGGTTAGGAGATGTTCTAGCACCAGGCAAACCCCTGGCTGTTTTATTATGTAAGGAGACCAACCTTTGTTGCTGAATCTTGATTGGGGTGAATTTTCTCCTTTTTCTATGGCCTTTTCATCAGCACAGTTGCCATCAGCCTTTCATCATGTGCCTGTTTACTTTGTGTTTCACTAAATGCTCTTTACAGAGGCTATTTTGGTTGCTTCCTAGACACAGAAAATGTTTTGTTTAGACCCCACCTTGTGTTCAGAGTGTCTGGGTCCTGCTAAAGCTGATTGAATTTGAGAAAGAAAAAAGAGAAATCAAGCAAACAGAAAGAGATAGTTACAAATCTTACTTGAAGATTTCTTCCTTCTTCTACATGCCTCTCTGCTCCTCTTTCTCCTTCCCCTGGCTCACTGAGAACTCTGCACCACTTACTGAAGTGGTTATGGGAGCAGTGTTAGAAAGATAATATGAATCTTAGAAATATGTCTCATCCTCTAGAGAGATACCATGATGCCAGAGTTCCATCCATTATTCTAGTCTTAACTCAGAGAGCCCTTGGGGAACACTATGTCTACCGCAAATTATAATATACCTATAAAATCTTTCTATAATAAGTGTAATTTCCCAAGAAAACAACACTTCTCATGACATAGATGAAACCCAATTTAGATTGCAGCTAGCTGTTTTAAATGCATTTTTTTAAATGGAAAGAAGTTTTCAAATTCCCTAAGTATGGTGCATTTTTAATCCTATATAGAGTTATTTCTCAATTGAAACCCACCTTAGGGAAGGGAACATTTTCCCAGGAGAGCTTTTCTGACTTTACCCACTTGCAATGCTAATGATTAATTTATGAACTATTCATATGTCTATAAAAAAGTTTTTTGATGAGAAAAGGAGCCAAGCATTCTGACCTCTTCCCAAAGATAGGACAAGATGCATTTGGGTACAAACTGGAACTGAGAAATTCAGATCAAATATTAGCAACTTCACTCTTATGGCAAATATACTAAGATGATTCTCCTGTGTTGACGGACTTTAGAAAGGATCTTCTCATGCTACATAAATTTAGACACCTTTAATCTGAATTAGTTGGGGTAGAATCTTGCCAAAGGCAGGCGTATCCATTGATATTCCATTTCCCATCCCAATTGTCCCAACTGCTATGTTTGCTTCAGTAGCACATACACCAATTGTCCCACTACTCAGATCCCAAATACCAGGTAAAAAATAATAAAGATCAAGACTTCAAGGTAGAAGACCTCATTGAAGTGGAATGAAAAATACCAGTCCTCACCCAGTCAACAAGAATATGGATTTCTGTGGGGGAACCCTAATCCACTCTGAGCATGTGGGTCTTATTACTCAATACAGACACCAAGAGGTAGATGACGAGAGTTCAGGACTTCATATTTTGGGGATTTTTCTGTGTTTTTTTAAAGATTTTTATTTATTTTCTTTATTTTGCATAGAAGAACTGGGGTGTAGGCCACAGGTGGGTGGGGGTGGTGAGAGGGTTCACCAGAGAGAGAGTGGGGAGCAGAAAACAGGCAGATCTATTGAAATACACTGCTAAGAGGAGCAGCAGGTAAGACAAGAGAGGTCTGCTGCACCATGTGGGTTAGCTACCTGGCCAGGGATCAAACTCAGACCATTGAGGTGATAGCCTGAGACTTAACCCTAGGCCATCAAGGAGGCACATGGACTTCATATTTTGATACTTTTTATAGAGATTTACCTCTTTAAGACAGAATTTAGACAGTTAGAATTCAGTTTACTTTTTGAAAGATAAATTCATACAATGTTTTTTCATTCATCAGCGATTTATTCAGCATAATATGAGCCTGAGACTGAAGACTGAGTGACAAAAATGGTCCTGGTCCTTGGGGTTCTCACAAATCATGCACTTTAGAGATCTTCAACCCACATATGAGGAATGTTACAAAAAAGGCAAGTAGCCTGCACTGAAGTGCCTACCATATAGCCTGATCTAAGGAGTGGAGGAGGGCCTGTCTGAAGAAAGAAACTTTTTAGAGAGATCTTTAAGCTAGAGCTAAAGAAAGGACAGTAGTTAGGTGGCAAAGAGGTCATTGAGTGAGAAAATGTTCAAACCTTTAATGGTCTGTATAAGCAAGACTGTAATATGTTGTAGGGACTGGCTTAGCCAATTTAGGCTACAATAACAAAATACCCTAGCCACTTCTGGGTGGCTTAAATAACAAATGATTTTTTCTCACACTTCTGAAGGCTGGGGAGTCCAAGATCAAAGTGTC